GCCTCTATACCATGAGTTCAAAGCTAATAGATCCGTCGATCTGGCATTCGTACAGAACATAAAAGTCAACAATGTTCACACCACTGGTATTGAGGAGACAACGGAAGTTCTACTCGATGAGCTTGTTCCTGACGATGTATTCGAGACAGACAATGATTACCATCAACAGATTAGGTAGTGGGCAGCTATACCGCCTGAATCACCAGTGTCTGATCTACCGTCCATCAACGAGCTCGTAACTATTATTAAAACTTTACCTTTAAATAATCATCTGGTGAAGACAAAGTCTCAAATAAAATGATAATAGAAGCATGTAAATCCGCGGCTGATGCGATCCTAACTGTATACAACCGTTGTGTCGCGGAAGGTGTCTTTCCTCGTGTATGGCGACGTGGATTCATTCGCATAATCCCCAAGAATGGAAATAAACCCCCCGATGACCCTAAGTCATATCGGCCTATCACGCTTTTGCCATCTTTAGGGAAACTACTTGAACGACTTATCGTTCCTCGTTTACTGCCAGGTGGACCAAAATTCCACAACAATCAATTTGCTTTCACTGTAGGAAAGTCTACTGTCGACGCGGCTCTTTCTGTCCGATCCATGGTAAATTCGTCTGAGCACAGGTATATAGTAGGCATTTTTCTGGACATTTCCGGTGCCTTTGATAACGCATGGTGGCCAATGTTACTCTTAAAACTGAAAGGTCGAGGCTGTTTTACTAACATATATAAATTAATATACACGTATTTCCTTCACGGTTCCGTTAAACTGAAGCTTGGTCATTGTTCTCGGTCGAAGTCTTTATCAATGGGATGTCCTCAGGGCTCGGTTATTGGCCCGTATTTATGGAATTTAGGATTTGATGATTTGCTCGTGATTCCCCTTCCTTGTAGCTGTACTTTGACTGGATATGCGGATGATGGCCTTTTGCTAGTACAGTCAAATACCGGCGCCGGACTGGAGAATTTGGCTAAAGACTGTCTCAGTAGGATCTCGCGATGAGGCGAACGAAATCGCTTGACTTTTGCACCCCATAAAACTTACCAGCTATTGCTTAAAGGAAATCTAAAGTCGTGGCCGTCTATTAAATTTAACAACGTTTCCGTAAAACGAAAGGAGTCGGTTTGCTATCTCGGTCTAGTTTTGGAAAAAAACTTTTCTTTCATTGAGCACATTAAGGCTATTAGTGAGAAAGCCAAAAATAATTTCTATGCGCTGACGCGAATTTCAAAAGCCACCTGGGGTCTCTCTTTTCTTACGCTCAGGATCATATACGGAGCAACCTACCTGTGATGCGTGTGCTACGGGGCACCTGTCCGGGCTGGACAAATTGTTGCTTTTTTGAGCGCATCGGGGAAGACTCCAGTAATTAAGGCAAGGTTACAAATGTGAGTGATTGAGGGAACCAGGATATGGCGACATCGTTTAAGGATCTGTGACGAAATGCCATCCCAGCCCGTGGCACAGTCGGTTCGAAGTTGTAAAATGCTAGCTTCAATTTCTGCTTCTGTAACCTCTAAGAGGACAAGTGAGTTCTGTGTGACATTTGGATATGTGTGTTTTGTATCAACGGTATGAGTGACACTAGAGGCAACCCTATCAGCCAGATTTTTACCTATACTTGTAAAGTAGTTGCAGACATAGTTAGTAGACTCTTTTGGATTACTTGATATTTTTAGTAGTTCTGTAGCATTATGTTTAGGCTTATCTGTGTTTGTTATTTGTTTTATTGCTTGCTTTGGATCGTTACCGGCCTGGTCTATTAAGCTTTTTTTCATATGCAGTTTTTAATTTACGAAGAAGACGATTACAATAGTTACGATAACGCGTGTAGATTATTTTATTAGTCATGTTGTCTATTGATTTTTTTGCTTTGATGTGTAATCTATCACGGTTTTTGATGCATCGGAGTAAACCTGAGGACATCCACGGTTTTAAAATTCTGTGTTTCTTAGTAACTACTGTCGTAGATGTATTGTCGTATATGATGTTCAATAACCGGGAGATAAGAGAATCTGTAGCCATGTTTGTGTCCTGTATCGTGAGAATATCTGTGAAGTCGGTGTCTTCTAATTCAATTCTAATTTTATCGTAATCAATGCAAGTCTTCGTATTTGGTGGTAGTCTAGTGGAGTTACCTTTTTCAACGTATAAGACTGTCGGCATGTGATCTGTGACATAGGATTCAACTATTAAAGTAGTGGACGGAAGACTGGGTTTTGTGAAAACGTGATCTAGGCATGTGGTAATTCTTGTGGGCAGCGTATGTGTGAAATAGTCCATGAGTGGCATTTAAAGTCAAATACTCTTCACGTAAAGGATCTGTACTGGTAGGACAAATATCAATGTTTATGTCTCCAACCAGGATAAGATTATCTGCTGGCAACTCGTTGTAGATGTCACTTAAACTATTAATGAAGTTGGTAAAGTTGTCGCGTGTTTTACCGGAAGGGGAGCGATAAACAGCTAAAATGGTTAGGTATATCATTGATTGTCCGGCAGAGTTAACCGGTTGCATTTTTAAAGTTTGGTTCACGTACTGTACACGTTAGGTTTATGTTAGTATAAATAACCACCCCGTCATTTTGGTTTAGCGTAGAGCCCGTCGAATGAGCGACGTAGCCCTCTAATGTTGGCAGGTTGCTCACACCACGCAGCCAGCACTCAGTCAGGAAAATGACGTCAAATTTGACGTCAGTCGTTGATAATACCATACATATTTGGTCGAAGTTTTTATTTATGCTACGAATGTTAGCGTGGAAGATCTTAATAGAATGATTATATGTGTTAAGGTACTTTTGACAGTCTTCTGGATGACAGGTGTATGTATTTGTAGAGTCGAGTGAGTCTAGGTCAGTGTTTATATTGTTTATATTTGCCATTTGTAATAAGTAAGAGCCAAGTAAAGGTATACTAGGATTAATATATACCAGACTAGCTGTTGCCCGCAACTTCGTCCGCGTAGATTAATGACTTCTGACAGAATCAATTCAGTGCCCAAGTAAGATTTATCTATTTTGAAATGATTTATCGTAGTTTCAATAAATAAATAATCCCGCAGGGATCTTACCAGTACAGTGCCCGATCACGTAAGGTTTGAGTAATAAAAACTATTCTATCGACTATTGTTGTACCGAATCTCTCTAAAATAAGTTCAGTGGTTAAGAGTTAGACAGTCCCGGGGCATTGACGCATAGTTCCCGTTCCCGTGGGACATCTGTGATAAAAACTATCAAACGTTACCCAGGTCCCAAATCATCGTTTTACCGAATGTAATTCAAAAAGATTCAATGATTCTAAATTCAATGGCTAAGAAGATTTATACAAACTCTCATTCCTTATTTTATCCCCTTAGGGGTGGAATTTATCAAAATCCTTTCTAAGGAGATACCTATGTCATAGTAAATTTATGCATGCAAAGTCTCAGCCCGATCAATTTAAAACTGGCAAAGTATCATACTTTGGGGTGAGAATGTTCAAAACCTTTCTAAAGGGAGGTTTACGTCATAATATCCATCTGCACGCCGAATTTCAACCCGATCGGTGTAAAACTGACAAAGCTTCAAACAAACGTTCATCCCCTACATTACCCCATTGGAGGTGGAAATAATCAAAATCCTTACTTGGGGCTGCCTACGTCATAACATCTACCTGCATGCCGAATTTCATCTGCATCGGTGTAAAACTGACAAAGCTTCATATAAACTTTCACCCCCTATTTTACCTCCTTAGGGGTGGAAATGATCAAAATCCTTTCTTAGCGGATGCTTATATGATAACATCTATCTGCATGTCAAATTTCAATCCGATCGATTTAAAACTGACAAAGTCTCATACAAACTTTCATCCCCTATTTTATCCCCTTGGGGGTGGAAATTATCAAAATCCTTTCACAGCGGATGCTTACGTTATAACATCTATCTGCATGCCAAATTTAAACCCGATCGGTTTAAAACTGACAAATTTTCATACAAAGTTTCATCCCCTTTTTTACCCCCTTGGGGTTGGAAATTATCAAAATCCTTTCACAGCGGATGCTTACGTCATAACATCTATCTGCATGCCAAATTTAAACCCGATCGGTTTAAAACTGACAAAGTTTCATACAAACTTTCATCCCCTTTTTTACCCCCTTGGGGGTGGAAATTATCAAAATCCTTTCTTAGCGGATGGATGCCTACGTCATAACATCTATCTGTATTACAAATTTTAGCCCAATCTATCCAGCGGTTTGGGCTGTGCGTTGATAGATCACTATGTCAGTCAGTCAGTCAATCAGTCAGTCAATCACCTTTGAATTATATATATATAGATTATGACAGGTGTAGATGTGATATTGTGAGAGTATATATGTGATGTGAGTTGATTGGTTGTGCTTAGGTATGTAAGGACAGTGTAGTTGGGTTGAGTATTGGGGTATAGACTTCTGTTAGTGATCGTGATATAATTTTGTTTTCTATTTTTCCTGGATGACGAAAAATTAACCATAGTAAAAGTAAGATGTTTGCTAGATAATACAAGTAGAAATGTCTTTTGAATTAAAAAAGCTAATGTTTCAATTACTAGTCACATGTTTTTCTTGAGATCCAAAAGACACTGTTCAGAGGAGATAAGTATTTGTTTAACGCCTTGCTCACCCAAAGTCAAGCTAGCTGCTCGAAGTACAAGGTTGGTTTAAAAATAATGTTATGGAATATTTTGTTATTTTTTATAACGTGCCTCAAGGTCAACGAGGTACAAATGAAAACTCGAATTTTTTTTACTGACTCTAGTAAGCTCTAGGTACGTAGGCAGTGTAGTCGGTTTCAATCAAAAATAACAAATTGCTTACAGGAATCTTTATAATCACAGTGTCTAAATTCAAATGGGCAAGTACTCTTGAGTTTTTGAAAATTATGACGCCATTTTACTACCTGTGACCGACAGGAGTGGCGACTTAAAACTTAGAACAAGAAGAAATAATTAATTTTTAAAGTGTATATTACAAGTGATACAAAATGTTGGTCGAGCTATTATTACTGGTGGTCATACTCCTGCTGATACACCAACGTTGGACAAAGAGGGATATTTACAAGTTGGGTGAACAATTGAATTGTGGAGTAAGGTCATTTCCACTTATTGGACACAGTTATTTGTTCATGGGCGATGGTTTGGGTAAGTATTCAATTTTTTATGTAAGTTTAACATTAGGATATTGAAAGGAGAGTAAAAGTGGGAAATTGTGTTAATAGTCTTACACTCTGTAATGTCCAGTAAAATAATATCCATCAAAGCTCGTCTTGCTGTAATGCAGTGTGTATTGACACCAAAACTTATGTATGGTAGTGAATAATGGGTGTGGCAGTTGAAACATGAAAGCAGGATTAATGCGGTGGAAATGAGAGCCCTGAGAAGTATGTGTGGACTAAAATTGAGTGATCGAGTGAAAAATTGTGTTATTAGAGAAAGGTGTGGATTGAAAGATGATGTAGTGACAAGGATTGAAAAGGGAATGTTACGCCGGTTTGGTCATGTAGAAAGGATCGATGCAAGTAGAGTAACGAAAGAAGTATACAGAGCGGAAATGAATGGGGCCGTCGGTAGAGGGTGCAATAGACGGACATATACTGACCAGATTGGCGATATATTAAAAAAGTGCCAAATTCTGACGCATGTTGTCGTTGACCACATTCTGTGCTTTATCTTATTTATTAATGGACATTGTATGCGATATTGCGTATTTATAATTCTTAAGTACTATGAATATTAATTTAGATTTAGAAAATAGACGACGATGTAGTGATAAAAATCAGAAATTGGGTAGGGTTAGTTCGATTTTATGTGATACGATGTTAATAATGATATTAAGATTAGAGAGACGTGCCTCAAGGTCAACGAGGTACAAATGAAAACTCGAATTTTTTTACTGACTCTAGTAGGCTCGAGGTACGTAGACAGTGTAGTCGGTTTCAATCAAAAATAACAAATTGCTTACAGGAATCTTTATAATCACAGTGTCTAAATTCAAATGGGCAAGTACTCTTGAGTTTTTGAAAATTATGACGCCATTTTACTACCTGTGACCGACAGGAGTGGCGACTTAAAACTTAGAACAAGAAGAAATAATTAATTTTTAAAGTGTATATTACAAGTGATACAAAATGTTGGTCGAGCTATTATTACTGGTGGTCATACTCCTGCTGATACACCAACGTTGGACAAAGAGGGATATTTACAAGTTGGGTGAACAATTGAATTGTGGAGTAAGATCATTTCCACTTATTGGACACAGTTATTTGTTCATGGGCGATGGTTTGGGTAAGTATTCAATTTTTTATGTAAGTTTAACATTAGGATATTGAAAGGAGAGTAAAAGTGGGAAATTGTGTTAATAGTCTTACACTCTGTAATGTCCAGTAAAATAATATCCATCAAAGCTCGACGTGCTGTAATGCAGTGTGTATTGACACCAAAACTTATGTATGGTAGTGAATAATGGGTGTGGCAGTTGAAACATGAAAGCAGGATTAATGCGGTGGAAATGAGAGCCCTGAGAAGTATGTGTGGACTAAAATTGAGTGATCGAGTGAAAAATTGTGTTATTAGAGAAAGGTGTGGATTGAAAGATGATGTAGTGACAAGGATTGAAAAGGGAATGTTACGCCGGTTTGGTCATGTAGAAAGGATCGATGCAAGTAGAGTAACGAAAGAAGTATACAGAGCGGAAATGAATGGGGCCGTCGGTAGAGGGTGCAATAGACGGACATATACTGACCAGATTGGCGATATATTAAAAAAGGGCCAAATTCTGACGTATGTTGTCGTTGACCACATTCTGTGCTTTATCTTATTTATTAATGGACATTGTATGCGATATTGCGTATTTATAATTCTTAAGTACTATGAATATTAATTTAGATTTAGAAAATAGACGACGATGTAGTGATAAAAATCAGAAATTGGGTAGGGTTAGTTCGATTTTATGTGATACGATGTTAATAATGATATTAAGATTAGAGACACGTTAAGAAATTTTTTATTAAAGATAAGGATAACAAAGGCAGGAAGGGGCGCCCTTACCGGTTTGTGTATATAGATAGAATATACCGATAGAATTTAAAAAAAAATCTCAGTTGTAGCACGGAGTCTGGAATCGTGGCCGGTATATGGCAATAGGCTCAACCCCTACATACATATATGAGACTCACAATATAGTGAAAAGTGTGTCTTACATTGTATAGTGGCATTAAGTGTCGTAATGTGCGCCTCTGCCTACCCTTTCGGGGATAAAAGGCGTGATGTTATGTTATACTACGACATCGATCTCGTTGGGAATGCTTGCGAAAACGGTCGTGTGTAATATTCATAGGTCATTCAAGGTTATGCTAATATTGTGTGAAACTGCTCAGTATAATACTTTTATATCAATTTCAGCACGAATGAAAGCCTTCCAGATTATGGGTTTAGATGCACTGAGAAAAGAAAATGGCTTGACATCACTGTGGCTTGGAAATCGTTTGTATACTGGTACGTTATCAGTTCCTTATTTAATCGAAGGTATTTTTTTAATACAGTATATATTTACAAAGTAATATAACATTACAGTGGTTGCTGATCCTGAAGCAGCAGACACTATTTTAAAGAGCATTTCCGAAAAAGACGACATCATTAGAATGGCTTCAGTTTTCATTGGAAATGGTTCTATATTTGCTCCAGGTATTAAGACAGCGGATGTTTACTTAAACTTATCCTGAGGGGTTCCTTCACTAAGTTATTTGTAATGTTGCAGTGTCAATTTGGCGACCACGTCGAAAGGTCTTAGTACCAACATTCAGTACGAAGAATTTGAAATATTTCATGACCATATTTGCAAGTGAAAGTCAAATCTTAGCTCAAGAAATAGGAAACACAGTTGGAAATGATCCGATTTCAATATTTAAGTACTTCACTGCATATACAATGGATGCTATTGCGCGTAAGCTGCTTTAAAACGTCAAGTTCTGTAATGTGATTATTGTTGTTAGGAAGATAGTAATAATTATCGTTTTTAACAGGAACGACGATGGGTTATAATATGAACGCCCAAAAAGATTCTAATCACTTCTTCTTGAAGGGATTTGATATGGGACTCAATAGCTTTGCGGAGCGCATTTGTCAGCCATGGCTGCACAGTGATGCGATATACAAGAATCTTCCCTTGTACTCCAGACTGATGAAACATAAGAAGGAAATATGGGACTTTATATCTGAGGTTACATTTGGATCATTTTTTAGTTATTCTTTCGTTCTATTTATTTTGATCCACACACAAGAAAGAATGCCTCTGTCATTATGTCCACCTTAGTACTAATACTATATGTAACCTTAGTACGATTGTGTATTATGTTTATATAAAAAAAACCAGACTTATAAAAATGAGATAATATCCAATTTATCTAATTCTGGGTTAATTTTCCTTATTCTCAACAAATGTTATGTTTTCAGTTGATAAGAAATAAACGAAAAGAGATTAAAGAAAAAAACATGACCCAAGAGCAGTATGAAAGTGAGTATAAGAGGTTTTCAATATTCTTCATAATTATTTATTTATTGTATCGAAAATTTTATTTAGGTGCTAGTATCTTAAGAACTGTATAGTCTTCATTTTCCAAACATTCCGCTTTTTAAATTGAGGTCGTTTAAGCATCAATTAAAATTTTTAATTCATTCTTTCGACTTGAGTTGTGTTTGACATTAATATTTAAAAATTTAGTGGCACGAGTGTCAACATAAAGATTTATTCTTATTGCTAAAAAATATTTCTATCCAGGAAAGGACATAGTATTTTCCTCCGATGATGATAAAATTGTAAATATATACGAATTTATTGTTTTAATATCAATGCGGGTTGGTGAATGTTTATAAAAAAAATTTTTTGAACCTAGATTCTGCAGAAAGCCACCAGACGACGTTTTTAGAGAGTCTGATGAGACTGTCTGGAGGTGATGACGGGTACACAGATGAAGAAATAGTTGAAGAACTACTGGTGATCATGGTGGCTGGTACTGATACCTCAGCAGTCGGAGCTGCCTTCGTATCTGTGGTTCTTTCCAGATACCCTGAAATACAGGACAAAGTCTTTGAAGAGTGAGTTATCCATACTTATACGTAGGTATATATTGTATTACTAGCTGACCCAGCAAACTTCGTACCGCCTAAACATTTTTTTATAACCTTTTTTACCCTGGACTTCCACGAACATTTAAAAACCGAGCCGATCTCGAGTTTTAGCTAGACACTCGTTAGAGTGTCAGAGAGAATTTTTTTTAATTTCCAACTACTTTACAAGACGTATGTTGAAATCTTTTTCAACACCTTCGAGAAGACCGGCAACAACGATATTGGTCTATAACTATAAAGTAAATTTGCTTCACCCCCTTTGCGTATTGGTACCACGACAGCTGTCTTTCAGTGTCTTATTGGTTTTAATACCCTTACTGCAGACCCTACAAATGGGCGACTTGGCAATATTCAACAACTCCCTCTTCTCAAGAAGGAAAAAAATTGTATACCGACTATTTGTGATAAATAAAAATCGTTCACATTTCTTTTGTAAATCTAACACAACCTTATACAATGGCTCGTGCAAAACTATGGGCAACAAGCTAGTGAATGGATGTAGAGAAAGTATGTTCATGAATTATTAATGAACGTGAGGCTTCTTGTTTAAAGGGAATGAGTTGATTGAATTGAAATATGATTTTTATTACCACCCAAATTATTAACGTGTTACATTCATTTAATATATAATTACACTAGCTATTCCCGCGACGATTTACCCGCTCAACTCGGCTTCTATTGATCGTAGCGTGTAGCGTTCTTCAATAAATTGACTAATCTACACAAAAAGAATTAGTTGTTTCGGACATTAGGACGTTTAAATAAACAAACCAATTCTTCAGCTTTATAATTATAATAGTAATTAAGTAATTATAAGTACATAACTACTTACTGAAATAGATAAACTCCAACAACAGGTTGCAAGAAGTATTCGGTGACTCCGACAGGCCGGCAACCTTCGAGGACTTGCCTCGGCTGAAGTACCTTGATGCAGTAATCAAGGAGACACTAAGATTGTACGCGCCAGTACCAGTCATGACCAGAAAAATTGAAAAGGATCTTTATTTACGTAAGTTTTTTTAAAGCATTACATTTTTTTCTAATTTTTGACATCCTTACTTCCTTACTAATATTATAAATCTGAAAGTGAGTTTGTTTGTTTGTTCCACCTTCACGCCGTAACTACTCAACCGATTGCTTTGAATTTTTGCAGACGTAAATTTAGAAGTTCGGATTAAATAATAGGGTACTTTTTAACCCGCGAAAAATTTAAATTCCAAAGTATTGGTGGTACAGGAAAAACAAAAGTATTGGTATAGATGGCGCTGTGTGTATTGGTATATGTCACATAGGGTTTTTATTCTTTTGTGACGCGAGCGAAGCCGCGGGTAAAAGCTAGTCCTAATATAAAGGTCCTTTTAGTTATAATAAGTATGTACGCATATTGGATAAATTTCTGCGTATTTATAATAGTCACAATAGGACTTAAAGAATAATAGTTGGTAGGGTGAACTCATCTAACTTCGGGACAAAGGCATTTGAGTAATAAAATACCAATAAATTATTAATTAATTTAATTCAGTCTCCGCGTGAGTTTTAATCAGTCTTTTATGAGGAATATTAGCACAAATAATCAGATTTTTTTCTAGAAACCTAAGAATTCTACCAAATTTACTAAACCGAATTATTAGGCGAGTCACAGAAGATGAGTTCACCCTAAATAGAAAACCTGTGTGTGAAACCAGTCCAAAATTCAAAAGACATTGAATCCACCTTTCACGTTTTTTACAATTTCAAGATCAATAACTATTTTTGCATATTCTATTTTTGTTTTTTGATTTTTCGTTAGTAGCTCCAAGTATTATTATCGGAGAATTGTTTACCGAGAAAGAGAGATAAATTGAATCAATGTTTAAATCCCCTGAAAGTATCCCCAATGCTTTGCTTAAATAAGGGTCAAGCTAGTGTAAGTTTTTTTTATGGCTAAGCCGGTAAACGAACAAACGGATCACCTGATGGCAAGCAATCGGCATCGCCCATGGACACCTGGAACACCAGAGGCGTTACAAGTGCGTTACCGGCTTTTTGGGGATTAGAAGTTTGAGGATCGTTGGGGATTCAGGGATTGAGGAGATTGGGTAAGGAGAGGGTAATTGGGCCTCCGGTAACCTCACTCACAAGACGAAACACAACGCAAGCGTAGCTTCATGTCGGTTTTCTGTGAGGCCGTGGTATCACTCCGGTCGAGCCTGCCCATTCGTGCTGAATCATGCCTCTCCCACACTTTCTTGATTATGTTTCATGATTATGGTGAACATTTGTTAACAAAACTTTACCATCTTTTCAGCCTGTGGTATAAAGCTGGTGCCTGGCAGCGGTGTCATGATAAATATCTGGGCTATGCACCGCAACCCTCGCTACTGGGGAGACGACGTGGAGCAGTTCCGACCTGAACGGTTCATTGATGCACAACCCACACATCCCGCTGTCTACATGCCGTTCAGTTATGGACCTAGAAACTGTGTTGGTAAGTCTTCAAATGTAACAAGACTCGCTAGACGCTAGTCGATCTGGAACTTATTAGAAGAGACTTATGTTCAGCAGTGGACCTCTTGTGGCCGATATAATGATGATGGAGTCTCAAGGTTACACTAGTCGATATTTTTTCCATAGAAAGTTCGGGGTGGTATTACTCCACAGTGTAAATTTGTACGTCCAAAATTAAACACGACAACGTTTTATCTTGTAATTACATTTGTCGGTACGGAAACAAAAAAAATTAAAAAAAAAAACGATTAAGAAGTTATGAGCCACCAAAGTTTTGTTTTTCATGACAATTTTAATGCAACTTTGGGTGTTAAAAAGTACCACTAATCGTGTAAAATCTCCATACCGTAGACCGTACCGACACAGCACAATTACCAGAGAGTTCTATAAAATTTATTTGAAATTGATGATCGCTATTTTCTAAAGCACTAAATCGTACTTTTATACGCACTCGTTTTACGATGAATTATCGTGCATTTCATTAGATAAAATTCCCCCGGCAGCAGCGCGGGGCGGAGGGAAGACGCTCACGCGTTTTTGCACAATTATTTGCACGACAGCGCGTGTCGTGCAAATCATTAGACTATTTATTTTCTATTGTTTTGGACTCGGTCGACTTAGTCTGCTGCTGTGGCCTACGTCGTTTGTATCGTATGTGTAGACGAATAGTCTACTCCTTACGCTTATCTTATGACTGAAGCTTCGCGACCGGTGCGGTGGTGTGGTGTCGATAGATAGGATAGGAGTAGGTGTATACCTACACAAGATGCCCTTTATACGATGACACGACCGTACCCTATTTATTAGGTAGGTAGGTACAAAGGTATTATTCGTGGTACGTAAGTTGAACAAAAATATAATTGTTAGTTATCAACGAAGCCACGAGTAAGTACCTACCTACCTATATGTAAGTAAACTGTCCGTAGGTATTATAGTGCGAGGTGTACGATACTTATATTATTTATCGTAAAATCGATATACCTATACTAAACAATGTAAATAAATTGCAGTGTCAGTTTGTACCAAATATTAAAATAGATTACATAGATTTTTTCATACTCACACGGCTATTTGCACGATAAGTAGGTAAAAAAACTACTTAATGCTTTGGACATAGGTACCTACGTATAACAAACAAAGATAGATAGACAGAAAAACAAATAGTTTTTAAACCCATTTTTTATTTATTTATTTTTGTATTTTTCCTATTTATTTTTCCGTCTGTCTGTCTTTCTATTTGTTCAGGTCAATGTTACCTACTAACTGTTAGATGAGACAGCGCGGTTTTTGGCCACGCCCTTGATTGAGTTCGAGCCCGCGACTAGTTTAACCTTAAGTTAAAGTTTTAGTTAAACATCTCATGCCTTTGCGGGTTACTAGTACTACGTTAGTATAGAATAGAATAAAACTTCAAAACAAAGAAAGAAGGAGATTCCGAGTTTGACCTGTATGTATGTTTATCGATTATCTCGCGATTGGCTGAGCCGATTTTGACGCAGTTTTGAGAAAAGTGTTTGTTACACTTAAGAGAAGGTTATAGGATATTAATCAACCGACTTTATAAAAAGAGGGCTTTCGAATTGGTTTTGTTTAAACGTAGTTTTTAAAATAATTATGTTACAGGTTATCAATACGCCATGATGTCGATGAAGACGATGTTATCAACAGTACTGAGGCGTTTCAAGTTCCTGCCTGCCACCAAACCTAACAATAATGCTGAGTTCCCACCACTGCGCCTCAAGTTCGATATCATGATGAAAGATGAAGATGGTTTCCAAATATGTGTCAAGCCTCGATCCAAAGTGGCTTAAATAAAGTATTTTTAATATAAGTCAAGTAATATGCTCAACATTTTAATTTTTGTTGCCTATTTATTGATACAACTTGATAGATTTACTCGTGTAATTGATTGAGTATCGACAATGACTAATATATTTTTTAAAGAAACGTTGGGCCTGCAATAGTATTTTCTCCTGTATCGTGGGTGCGTTTACAAACATACAAGTTCACATATCCATGACACTCAGACCCGAAATACCTATCTGTGGATCATAGAGGTACAAAGAGTTGCTCCGTGCGGGAGCCGAACACGCGACACGTTGCGCGGCAGCCACCGCACCAATCGTGCACTCAAGTGTCAAGTCAGTCAATTGTCGATACAATACAATGTTTCCGAGAGGTATTCGGACCTGGTGATATGTAACACAGGTCCTTTATGTACATTTAGTGAAACAAGAATTATTATTGTAAGACTAGTGTTTTAATAATCTGGTATGTGGAAGTAAATTTACATAATTATGATATTAATTTTATACATTTTGGGTTGCTAATAAGATAATGAATGTCTTTGTCGGATTGTCTACAATCTCTCCCAGATAAGAGATCCACTTTACCGCTTTATTAGGGTTGTTTTCGGTTATTCGATAATTTTAATATTATGGCATGATTTGGACTGGATATATGGTAATATACCCAATAGTCAATACGATGTTTGCGGGGGATATATTACATAGGACACATATCAAAATTATAGAAAAAGTGTACCTTTAGATATCAAAGTGAATTTATGGCATTTTAAGGCGTGATAATTTTATTGAATTGATACTATTAAAATGTATTACTGTGCGCTGTGTTATCTTTTGTAATAAAAATTTAAACAATAATGAATAATGTATTATTTATCTTTACCATTCACGGGACCACAGGGTCCCGGTCATTTGGGAGGCGTACGAGGAGCCGAAGCCAACTGCGCAGAGGCCCTAGACAACTTTAATATAAATGTAATGGACACACAAACCGGCGACTATCCCTGTATGCACTATGGAAATGCACCCAAGGACAGTCCCCGGTTAGTGTAGGACTATTGTGGATAATGGAAAAAAAAGGTAGGGCTATGGATGGGTTGCTGTGGACTGGTAAATTAGGAACTATGGATGACTATGGCACCTGCCGAAACAATGTAATTTTTACACGTAAAAATGGCAGGCGGAGACTCGCCAACTCACCGACCGGGCCCCGGGAATGGTTGCTAGATATAGCAACAGAGGGGCAACGAGAATGTGAGTGGATGAAGGGTTAAGAAACTACCACCGCTTTCTACTCAGATCATCTGCTCCAGCCGAAGCCTCCTGCATCCCTGGCCCACTCGCGATTTACGAATAGTTTCTTACCCTCCGAGCAGGATCACTGCTCTCGCGACTCCACTCCAGCCAGCCAATTAAGGCAAGCCAGAGAAGAAGGAACGGTGACCTCTCCCTGGAGCACTCGGAATGATGGTAGCCCGCGGGATCGCTAATGCCCGTCACCTCGCCTCAAGGTGCCCTGCGGGCCTTATTTATCTTATTATTACATTGACAACATTAAATATTCGCAAGATCTACGTACCTACCTATCTATTATTCCCTAAATTAGGAATAAAAAATCAAAGACTGCCTCGTTGTCCGAGGGGTCGCAAATGCGACTGCCGGGCAAGGAGTCTCGGGTTCGATGCCCGGGTCGGGCAAAGTATTACTGAGTTTTTAAAAATCTCAGTAGTAGCACGGAGTCTGGAAATGTGCCCGGTATATGGCAATAGGCTCACCCCCTATTACATGGGACTCATAACATAAATAGTGAAAAGTGGGTGTTACATTGTACTGTGGCATTAAGTGCCGAAATGTGCACCTCTGCCTACGCCTTCGGGGATAAAAAGGCGTGATGAGTCCCATGTAATAGGGGGTGAGCCTATTGCCATATACCGGGCACAGTTCCAGACTCCGTGCTACTACTGAGATTTTTTAAAAACCCAGTAATACTTTGCCCGACCCGGGAATCGAATCCGAGACCTCTTGCCCGGCAGTCGCAATTGCGACCACTCGGCCAACGAGGCAGTCTTTTCTTTATTTTTGAAGTCAGCTAAAAATCTGTTGTAGGTCAAAGTAGTGATTCGAATTAAATGCATATATCTTATTAGGTCACCAAAACACCTTTCGAATTTTTATCTAGGTGTTCAGTAGTTGATTTCAATGGATATAATGACGATGATGCTAATGTGACATAAATATATAAATTTATTTTAATAATACAATCTTGGAAGGGGTTGCAGTATGCCATTTACTAAGGTTTTGTCTGATAAAATATTAAACACGCAGAGTTTGATCGTTATCTATATAGGTACATATAATAAAATCGTAGAAAAGTCAAAATTGTACATTGAATATTTTTTTAAAAGAACACTTGGGGCGTGATCTGCAGTCGATTCCAAAGCCAAAAATACAGTTTTTGGTATTTTTGTCTGTTTATCTATATGTATGTCCGGGATGATCTCAAAAAGTACTGCATGGATTTACTTCAAATTTTGGATGAATATTACTAACAGGTCGGGTTAACATACAAGCTACATTTTATCACGCTATCACCAACGGATTACTATTCCACGCGGACGAAGTTGCGGGTACAGGTAGTATAAAATACGTATAAATGTTTAATAATTATTTTACATTTTCGGCTTATCACAAAGATTGATGGCGTGATTGTGGATGTCATGAATGACACAATTTGTTTTTGTTTTTTGACGTAATACATTTCCTAGTTCATTAATTAAAAATCTGAAGGAAAACTAGTTGCATTTGCGTAATGCTTAAGAGGTCGGATTTATATATCTATTATAGACAAAACAAAATAAACGTTGAGATAAAAACTACTTCTTTTTTTTTACGAATTACCTGATGGTAAGTAATCTGTGTTACCCATGGACACCTGGAACGCCAAAAGTTTTACAAGTGCGTTACCGAACTTTTGCGGATTAGAAATTTGAGAATTATTGGCGATTTGAGATTGGGAACCCCCCTTCCCAATTGGGCCTCCAATATCCTCACTCACACGACGAAACACAACGTAAGTGTTGTTTAACGTCGATTTTCTGTGAGGCCGTGGTATCACTCCGGTCGAGCCGGCCCATTCGTGCCGAAGCATGGCTCTCCCACACTCCCGTTTTTTTTATCCCAAGCAGTTCAAAGTACCCATATTACATTTTTGGTTTTCAAATATCTATATTACTCTTCTCGGAGTTTGAATCGGCGTAGCCTGTATCAGTTTAAATTTTATAAAAAAATATATTATCGTATTTCAATTTTAATTATATGTTTTTAAAGTCCAAAATTACCTGCTGCCCAGTGTTGTTAGCTATTGCCCCTTGGATAAAAATTAACGTAATATTTACTGGGTTGCGACCCATAAATTTCACAATAAAGTCATTATGATTAATAATAGATGACGTTACCAGGTCAACCTTAACTATCCTAGGAATATCCGATTTACAATCTTGTTCATATGGCAAGAAAGTCTAAAGTAAATAGAAGCAGTTTGATCTAAGTACAGATCTACTTATGTTTGCATAATTCTGTCAAGAGGCTTGCCAAATCCTTACCAAAGTACGAATGGCCCTCTGAAGGTCGCAAACATTCAAGAAACCGATGGGATTAACCTTGAGATGATTACCATATCGTCGATTGGTATAGCAATTATCTCAAAATCTTTTAATATACACTTGCCACAGCACGTTTAGTCGCAAATTCATGGTACACATCGAGCTTTACATAACCAGTATAAACTGAACGTTAAATGTGCGGACAGTTGATGCGACGCGACACCAGGATAAACTGGTTTTGTATAGATTGATGTGTGGCCATGTGTACACATGATAAAGTTACATAATATCATAATCGAGAGATCGAAGGAGATATTAATTGCTACACTGTACTCGTAAGTACATGGGTTACATTCGACAAAATTGTTTCATGATCCATTTCATCGATAAACCATTTAAAACGGTTACACGAATGTTGGTCTATAAAACAAGTCTGTGGTGGATCAATTTACTATCTTAGTCCATTAACATTTTAAGGTACGAATTCGTAGGTCAGTATCGGAAAATTATGTAAAATTGTTAGTTTTTCGTTTGTTATTTTTTGTTGGATTTGCAACTTTAGGTGATGGACATAATGTATACGTCAATTCAAGGGATATTCAAATTTGATTTTGACTTGATATTCAAGTTTTGAACAGGTCATATTAAGGGCGAATTAATTTTTTTTTTATATTTATTTTCCTCAATTTTTCTTGTCCAATCGAGACCTGTTGATTCCCGTTAGATTTGGATCTAATTTTAGCACACTTTTCACAAGTTATGCTCAATAGATATAAAAGGCGTTGTTATAAAGCCGCGTCATTTTCTAGGAGACATCGGTTCTGAGTCCAAACCAATAAAAAAAAAATTTTAGGTAAACATTTTTCATTTTTCTGTAAACTACGGAAATTCGTAAGTGCGAACTACTTGCCGCCGTCTTGTAACTTGATAACGCGGCTTAACACACACAAACTCAAACACCTAATTGATATTATTCCTAATTCCATAAAACTCCAATAAGAAATATTGCTGTCGTTTATTTGGATATACTGTCGAACTGAAACTATTTATTATAGCCGTATTTTTAACTATTGGCCAAAATTGTCTCTTACATTGTACCTTTATGACTTCTGTGACATGCCCCCGAGAAATGACACGGTTTCAAAATTATAGAATTATATGTTATAAAATATATTATAAAATTATATGTTGGGGATTATAAGGATTTTTGAATTAAAATATCTTCCAACAATTTGAGAGCTATATTTCGATAGCACAGACATGGTAGAATAAAAAAAGTAAAAACATGGCGGTATTCGCAAAAAAGAGAAACACTAAAATTACTTATAGCTATCAGTTAACCCAGTGAAATACATTGCTATGCATTTATGCGTAGGCTCACGTAAACAACCTTGTATATTATAT